AAAAAAAAAAAAAGTTGCAACTGTTTTGTTGACATTCTGAATGCTTCTAAGTAAATACAATTTTTTTTTATTAAGAAAAGGAAATAATAATAGGGCCAGGGACATAGCTCAGAGGCACAGCTCCTGCCTGACAAGTGCAAGGTCCTGAATTCAATTCCTGGCAACAAATAATAGTAATAGTAATAAGAACAGCAACAGTAATAATAATAGTGACCTGAAAGTGTGTGATAAAGGTTAAATGAGATAGCTTTTGGAAAGCAGCATAATGCCTCCAAACAGCAGCAGCCTAGTCTTCCCTGTTAGAGATATTGTAGTCAAATGACACTATTCATTCTAAGAATAATTTCTGATCTTCAAAATTCATTTAGCTCCCAGAGGATTTTGACATTGAAATCGCATTACTGAAGTATCCCGTGAGATACGAAGAGAGCATGAATACTGTGTTGGTACAAGAAATGGAGCGATTTAACAAGTAAGTGCTACATCCCCATGTTTCAAAAGGCAACAAAAGTAATGCAAAGATATAGCATTATTAAGTTTAAATGTTGGGGGCTTGCGGGTTAGCTCAGTTGTTTAAGCACCTTGTTTGTCTGGCAAACCTAGTCAGGCGCAAGGGCCTGCGGTTCAATCCCCAGCTCCACCTGCCTTAGCAGACCCAACCTTAAGGCAGCCTGAGCCAGCCAAAAAAATAAAATAAATTTAAATTTTAAATAAAAGATTATCAGAACCTCCTATTTAAATTTTCTCTATACCAAAAAAAAAAAAAAAAGTAAATAAATAAACTTTTCTCTTTTTAAAGTTCTATTTAACCTTTCGCCCCAGAGGCCAGTACCTTTTGTCATGTAAAAATGATGAAGAAAAAAGATCTGTTCTTACTAATGAAAACTATTCACTAATCTTAACTTTTCATCCACTTATTATTATTCTCAGGAAAATAAGACAGAGTAAACATTAACTAGGCTTACTTTCATCATTTTTTAATCTTTTGTCTTTTTATGATACATGTGCTAAGTCTAATCTATGTTGACAAGATACCTTGTGATAATAAATTATCAGCTTTGAATTTCCAAGTTAATTTCTGCAGTGAATGCATTAAGGAATGGAGATTGTTTTGGTTGTGCATTTTCTGTAGTGTTTCTAAGTTTATTTTGGCTTCTAAGCTTCTTGACATTTTAAAATAAAATGTATTAAAACACATTTCCCTGGGGCCGAGGAGATGGCTCAGTAGAATAAGCACTTCCCTGGCAAGCACAAGGGTCTGAGTTCAATGCCCTGTTCCACAAAAAAAAAAAAGGAAGAAAGAAAGAAAAGAAAAGAAAACACATTTCCCTAATTCAGAGTGTGTGTGTCTGTGTGTGTGTGTCTGTGTGTGTGTGTTCTCAGGACTGAACTCTGAGCTTTCTACATGCTGGGTAAGCAAGCACTCTAAAACTGAGCTATATACCAGCCCTAACACACTATCTCTTATACAAAGACTATAGTCATTTCAATATAGTGATACGCTGTTCTCAGCTCCTCGGGCTTTTGTCCTCACTACTGTATAATATTCTTAACTTTGACCTAAGTAGGAAGCAGTGTATTGGCCAGTATATAAATGAATATCCAGTTTTATGTTTTAATGCACTGTTTCCCTAGACTCAGCCATTGTGAAACACACTTTAAACTTTTTTATATTCACTTCTCACCTGTAACATTTACCTAATATTTTTCCTTATATGATTTTCAACTAAACTAGTTGAGTCCTCTCAAACTGCTCGGGGTCTTGCAGGTTAGCTCAGTTGTTTAAAGTGCCTGCTTGGGCAAATTCAGTCAGGGGCGCAGGGGATGGCGGTTTGATCCCCAGCTCCATATGCCGCTCAAGACTTGCCCTTAAGGCAGCCTGAGCCAGGCCAAAAAAAAAAAAAAATCCTCTCAAAGTCCTCTATAGATTTGATATAATCACTATTGAAATTCCCATGTCAAGATGGTTCAGTAGAATAAGCATTTCCCTGGCAAGCGCAAGGGCCTGAGTTCAATCCCCGGTTCCGCCAAAATAAATAAATAAAAATTCCCAAGTTATTTCTCTTAAAGAACACCATATTCACATGGAATTATAAAATACCCTCAACTAGCCAAAGCAGCCATGAGAAAGAGGACAAAGCTGGAGGCGTCACACTACCTACCTGCCGTCTGCACTACAAAGCAAGCAATTACTGTTGGAAACATGTAGGGCTGGCATAAAAGTAGATGTAGACACCACTGGAATAGAATAGAGAACCCAGAAAAGAGCGCTAAGTGTGTGTGGTCAATTAATCTTTGCCAAACGTACTAATAATATACAGAGGAAGAATGACAGTCTATTCCATAAATTATGTGGAGAAGAGTGAGTATGTAAATGCAAAAGAATGAAATTATTCAACACTTATATCACTTTTAAAAAATCAATTTAAAATAGTTTATAGACTTAAACATAAGACCTGAAATTATAAAACTACTAGAAGGGAATATAGGGAAGGAAGTACATGACATAGATCTGAGAAATACATTTTTAGATTTGACCCCTAAGTTGCATGCAGTAAAAGCAAAGATGGATAAATGGGGTTACTTCAAAATAGAAATAAAATCTGTACATTAAGGGTAACAGTTAACAAAGTGAAGAGCCAATTTACAGATTAGGAGAAAATAGCTGCGAGTCAGGCATGGTGGTGTACACTTGTACAGCACTTGGGAGGCTGAGGCAAGAGGATTGTTGTGAGTTCAAGACCAGCCTGGGTTACATAGTGAGTTCCAGGCCAGCCTGAGCTGCATAGCAAGACCCTGTCTCAAAAAAAAAAAAAAAAAAAAAAAAAAGGAGGAAAATATTTTCAAGTCATCTTTCTTATGAAGTATTAATATCCAACATATACAAGGAATTCAAATAATTTTATAGAAAGAAAGCAAATAATCTGCTTAAGAAATGTACAAATAACAGCCAATAGGTATTTGGAAAAATGTTCAACATCACTTAGTATCAGGGAGATACATCAAAATTACAATGAGACATTCCCTCATGTCAGTTAAAGTGGCTTTTATTAAAAACATAAGTTCTGGGGGGCAGGGAGATAGCTCAGGGCCATAAGTACCTAGCTGGCAAGCACAAGCTCCCAAGTTCGATCCCTGGCCCCACATGCTTTGCTGGCCCTGGAACCAGGTGTGGTGGTGCAGGCTTAAAATCCCAGTGCTCAGGAGGTTGAGACAGGAGGATCTCTGTGAGTTCAAGATCAGCCTAGGGGCTACAAAAGTGAGCACAAGGCCAGCCCAAACTGCATAGTGAGACCCTGTCTCAAAAAATAAAAAATAAATAAAAATAAACAATTCTGGAAAGGATGTAGAGAAAAGGTAACCCTTATACATCATTGGTGGGAATGTAAATTCGTACAGCCATTATGGAAAAAAATAAGGAAGTTCCTCCAAAAACTAAAATAGAAATGGCATGTAGGTCAGCAATCTCACTTCTACATGTATATTGAAGATTTGAAATAAATATATCAAAAGGATGCATTCCTATGTTCATTGCTACATTATTTATAATAGACAAATTATGAGTTAGCCTAAATGTCCAGCAAGGAACATTGAATTCAAGATTTTTATTTGGTTTTAAAAGTACTAAGCAAAACAAGCAATAAAAAAAGGGGAATGAGGCGTGCTAGTGTTTGAATATGCTCTCTTGTTGCTCTAATTCTGTGCCTCTGTGCATTATTAATACTTGGATGCATGCAATGCCAGCATGGAAATCGGTCTTCACAGATACTGCAGTTTTCCAGAAAACACTCACAAACCAATAAATGTAACCGACAACATTCCATTTGTTAATGGGCATATGTGAATAAGCAGTGTAGAAAATAGGCTAATATTAGAAAATGGTTAAGTCCTTTATAACTAAAAGTGTGGTTATATAAATGGACATTGTCAATGTTCATAATTTAAACCTTGGGTACCTGGTCAAAATATTGCTTGGGAAACATTTTATTAAAATTGAGCTAAATTATAAAAAAGAAAAAAAAGAATGTGGTAGAAGGCCAGAGATGTGGTTCAGGGGCACAGGGACTGTCTGGTAAGCATGAGGCCCTGAGTTCGATTCCCAGTACCCCCCCCAAAAAAATGTGGTATATATATGCAGTGGAATACTATTTATTCTTTAAAAAGAACATTTGTCATCTGTGACAACATGGACAGAATTGGAAAACACTATGCTCAGTGAAATAAGCCAAACATGAAAAGACAAATAGTGCATGTTGTTACTTATAGTATATAGACTCTAAAACAATTGAACTTATGAAGCACAGGGTGGATTGGTAGTTACCAGAGAGCATGCATGGAAGGGAATAAGGAGATGACAATGAAAGGGCACAAAGCCTCAGTTACATGGAAGAAATGAATTTGATTTATTTAAATCAGTAGCACAGCTTGATAAATATAGGATACAATTAGATATAATACACTTTCATATCACTGAGTAAATTTCTGATCCTTGCCAGGCTTGGCACTGCATGCCTGTAATACCAGAACCAGGTGGCCAAGGCAGGAGGACTGGCAAGTTCGAGACCAGCCTGGGCTACAAAGTGAATTCAAGACCAACCTGAACTGCATAGTTAAACTCAGTCTCTAAAACACAAAATAAAACAAAACACTAATGCTTTCATCCAAGAAAGGGTTAAATATTGGAGGTGACATTAATTAGTTTAATATAACCTTCTATTATACTGTATTCAAAAATTATAATACTTTGTACCCCATTAACATGTGTAGCTATGATTTGTCAATAAACAGTAAGGACTGTTTTTAAGAACTAGCTAGTCCTAAGAAATCATACCAGAGACAAAAATTTTGATATACCAATTGTATTATAGTCTATACTTAAAAATACATGTCAAGGGGCCAGAGAGATAGCTCAATAGAATAAGCGCTTGCCTGGCAAGCGCAAGGGCCTGAGTTCAATACCCAGTTCCGCAAAAAAAAAAAATGTGAACACCTGCTTAGGCAGAAGCAGGGGCCAGGGGTTCGATCCCTGGCTTGCTGTGCTGGCCCTGCTCCTGGGGTACGCTGAGATGGGCGATTGAGACTGGGTGTGGTGGGGCACGCTTGTAATCCCAGCTCTTTGGGAGGCTGAAAACAAGCGGATCACTACAAGTCCAATCTATGTAGTGAGACCCTGTAGACTCTTACTAAAAAAATAAATAAATAACATGTGGCAAGGCCGGCCTGATAGCTCAGCGGACTAAAGTGCCTGCTTAGGCAGAGCGCAGCAGCCAGGGTTCGATCCCCTGTGTGCCGTGCAGGCCCTGCCCCTGGAGCGCACTGAGATGGCAGTTGAGACTGGGCATGGTGGCGTGTGCCTATAATCCCAGTGCTTGGGAGCCTGAAAACAGGAGGATCACTATGAGTCCAATCTACATATCTACATAGCTAGGCCCTGTAGACCCTGAACTAAATACAGAAAAGAAAATATGTGTAGTGATTACAATGGAAAATGTTCATTCAATATCACCTGAAACTACCCTCAAGTATCACCAGGCAGGATGTCAGGATGTGGCCGTACCTTAGAAAACACTCCCGTAAGTCTGTGAATGAGCCCCTGGTATTGCATCTTCCACAAAACTCTGTTGCCCTTCACTGTCACGTATGCATTGCTCACATCATTTTTTTCATTGCAGTTTAATTGTAACTATACGCAGCACTCTGCAGGACCTTGAAAAAGCTATCAAGGGTGTGGTTGTAATGGATTCGGCACTGGAGGCTCTTAGTAGCAGCTTGCTTATTGGAAAAGTTCCAGAATTGTGGGCCATGCGATCATATCCCAGTCTGAAGCCCCTAGGAAGCTACATCACAGATTTTCTAGCCCGTTTGACATTTTTACAGGTACAAGAATATTTTAAATTATATATATATATATATATATATATATATATATCTGACTGAGGTGAAGTTAGCAATTGACTGCAGTGTCACTTTCATCTCTCTGAGGTGAACGGAATGTGGTGAGTAGTTTCATGGTAATCCAACCGAAGTTTTAGAATCCTGAAAAACACACATTTCCAAGTAGTGAGTAGTAATGGCCAAGACCAAGCGCAAAGCATTGAGTAAAAGCTTAATACTTTAAGCAAATTCAAGTAAGATATGACCCTTATGTTTCTGACAATTCTAAGCTTGTGATTCTCTCAGACTATAGTTTAATGTTGTCTAGTGATTTTAATTTACCTATAGTAAATCACCAAAAAACCAGAGGCTTGGAATTATCAATTATTGGCCATTATCTTAAAATCAATACTGTGTATCTCTTATCTCATAAAACTAGAGAACAGCTGAGTGCTTTGAGTCCCCCAACACATTCCTGCCTAGACACACGGGTGCACACACACATACACACACACACACACACACACACACACACACACACACACACACACGGGCGTCACAGCCCACGGCTTATAGCCCCCACGTCTTTGGGCTCATGAAGAAGCAGAACACCACTCGGAGGAGGAGCACAGTACAGCAGGGCTGCTCTCTTCGTGGCAGTGGGGAAGAAGAGAAAGGAGTGAGAGACCCAACGCTCCCTTAGGAGCACATCCCCGATGACCTAACAGCCTCCAGCAGACCCTGTGTCCTGACAGCACCAGATCTAGGGACCAAGCCTTCAGCACATGAGCTTGGGGAGACATTTAAGAACCAAACAATAGCCAGGTGAGGTGATTCGTTCCATAGCAGTGGCCTTTTTATTATATAAAAAAGCCTGTTTCATATTGAAGCTAATCATAAAAGAGCCAGTACTTGTGAGGCTATAAAATTCAATCTTGTTTCCACTTCAGAATTTTTTTTTCCAGTCTCATAGGTCAACCATTTGACTCTTTTTCTTTTCTTTCTTTTTTTTTTTTTTTTGTGGGGGGTTGGCTAAAATTGTGAGCCAAAAAAAACCTCTCCCCCTCTAATATGTGGGTTTGGAGTATTCTGTCTCAGAGAAGTACAAAGACACCTGAGTAGCTGTGGGCTGAAAGGTGCTGTGTCATACAGGATCATTGCTGTTGTAACAAACAGAAAATCTGATGGAGCAGAAAGAAAGCTGTTCCTTCAAGTAACTGTAAAGTCCAGGGGTTAAAGTGGTTACACATAAATCTTGACTTGGGGGCCAGCATAGTTACCTCATCCGGGCTCCTTGAACTTCATCTCTCGGCTCTGCACCCTTTGGGTTAACTCTATTCTCAGTTAAGCTCTCCTCTGATAACAAGACAACAGCAGCAGTTCTGGTCTGACCTCACACAACTTCAAAAGCTGAGTTTCTTTTCCCTGAAAATAGGTTTCTGCATCTTTTGCTTTGAGTGGGTCACATGTCCATTATTTGATCAATGACTATGGCTTGAAGTGTGATCGGCCAGGCATAAGTCATGAACCTATGCCAGGAAGCTCAGTGACTCTCCACCACTGGGAGGCCTTCGACTAAGGGTACAGGAGGATTTATCCTCCAGAGGGAAAGAAATGTAGTTAGTATTACTTCAACAAAGGCAGAAAAAAACAGCAGGGGGGCTGGCCAGATAGCTCAGCAGACTAAAGCTCCTGCTTAGGCAGACGCAGGGATAGGGGTTCCATCCCTGGTGTGCTGTGCTAGCCCTGCCCCTGGGGCATACTGAGCCGGTGATTGGGACTAGGCGTGGTGGCGCACGACTGTAATCCCAGCGCTTGGGAAGCTGAAAACAGGAGAATAACTGTGAGTCCAATCTACGCAGTGAAACCCCATAGACCCTGTAAACCCTGTAGTAAATACACACACACACACACACACACACACACACACACACACAAAAGGAAAAACAGCAGGGGCTCACCCAGGACAGAAGGGACCACCAAAAAGTTCAGTTTAACTAGATGCATGAAAGAAAATAAAAGAGACATAGGGCTAAAAATACACTGTGGGACCCGGCTATGAAGTGTCTTGCACAGGAGACAGAGAGGCCCAGGCTTTCACTTGTAGATCCCTGAAGGACTCAGTAGGTCGCCGAAGAATTATGAGATGCTAAGTATGATCCTAACTATACATGGTCAGATGGTCACTAGCTGTACTGTTTTAGATGTGAGCAGCAGAGAGGGAAGGAGCAAGAGGGCAGTGTGTGCTAATCCAGAAGGAAGAACGCGAGCTGCTGAGCTAGGTTCAGGCAGTGGCCCTGGGGACAGGATGGAGAGGGTGAAGGAACTGGGATCAACACGGGAGGGTCACAGCTCAACAATGTGTAGGATGCTTAAAGATGGTGGCTTTTGAAGGGGGTAACAGAGTAAATCGTCAAATAATTTACACTTCGCTTTTTGTAGAAGGTCTGGATCTTTCAAACTGTGTTTCATTCCAGTAAATCTTACATTAATTTCCAAGAAGCATAACTAGAAAGGAAAAGACGTAGGAGAGTGTGCCTGATCTCCCTCTCCTCATCTGTCTGTCTGTCTCTCTCTCTCTGTTACACACACACACACACACACACACACACACACACACACACCAGCATCAGGAAGTATATGTCAAGTAATACTTGTAGAAGCAGAAGGATAGACATAATATATTTTGTTTTTCCTCTTACAGGACTGGTATGACTCAGGAAAACCCTGTGTGTTTTGGCTCTCGGGTTTCTTCTTCACCCAAGCTTTTTTAACTGGAGCTATGCAGAATTATGCCAGAAAATACACCATCCCTATTGATTTACTAGGATATGAATTTGAGGTACAGTAACTTGTTAAACTCCACAGTACATCATTACAGCAGAACTGTATTTCAGCAAGAAGGATATACAGAATTTATATATTATGACCCATTACAGAAAATTATACTTTTCAATTTTTGTGCTCCATGATGAACATGTATATCTGCTTTTTTATCACTAGTGTAGAACTTTCCAGGCCAGCCAAATAACTCAGCGGATTAAAGTACCTGCAAGCAGGCATAGGGGCCAGGGGTTCGATCCCCGGGCCTACCATGCCAACCCCACCCCTGGGGTGCACTGAGATGGCAATTGAGACTGGGTGTGGTGGTGCACGCCTATAGTCCCAGCTCTTGGGAGGCTGTAAGTAGGCAGATTATTAGAGTCCAATCTAGTAGTGAGATCCTGAACATCCTGTAGACCCTTCCTTAAAAATACAAAGAAAAAAGAACTCTCCCATCTCTTAGTATTTAATTCAAATAATCCAGTGTTGTTTTACTTTAGCAAAAATTAATGTGCACTGGAGTAAAGCTTCATAAAATGCTTCAAAAAGAGCTATACAACCCAGGTGTGGTGGCACACACCTGTAATCCCAGCACACAGGAGGCTGAGGCAGGAGGGTCATTGAGAGTCTAGCTTGAGCTACAAAGTGAGCGCAAGGCCAGCCTGGGCTGCTTAGAGAGACCATGTCTCAAAAAAAGAAGAGAGAGAGAGAGAAAGAGATATTATACAGTAGTATACTACGCATTACTGTATACTATGGCTGAAAAGCTCTACAGTTCAGCAAGCTGTTCCATCGTAGTTTCCCAACTGTGCTCTGAAGGTTTAGCCAGTGTTTCCTTTCAGAGACTCAGCTGTGTGGAGCGCATTCCCAGCACGGGTTTCTCCCTGCAGGTGATTCCTTCTGATACGTCTGACATAGCCCCAGACGACGGAGTCTACATCCATGGATTATACCTTGACGGGGCGCGCTGGGACAAAGCAAGGTCGGTGGTTTCAGCCATGAGGCTCTCTGGGTGTCAGTGAGTCATGGGGAGGAGGGGCAGGGCATCTGGGGCTTTTCTTTTGTCTTAACTGAAAGGCCTCTTCTAGGAAATCATAAGTCATACAACATCAGAATTGCTTTATAAATCATGACCCAGGCTGGAACAACTGTGATGATTTTTACAACCTAAACAATTTCTAGTTAACATTTCCAATATTTCAGTCATCTCATTAATAGAAAATTCGCTGGTTATTTTCCTAATTTATATTATCTTCCATTTTGTAATGTGTAGAACTGACAGAATTATATATGGGGGGGTTCTGTCTTTTTTGTAATTATTATTTAGTTGAGGTTTATTTTTTGCCTTTGGTGCTGAGGACCACGCCCAGAGCTCTCAGCTTGCTAGGCAAGTGCCCTACCATTGAGCCAAGTCCCCAGCCCCTCTTTGTATTTTTCACACTTTTCAACAGATGACAGTTACAATAAAATTTCCCCTTAGTGAACAGAAAATTTTCTTACATGTTGATATGATAATAAATAAATGCTTGAGTAAATATTGAAGTCTAGCTTCACTCTTAGAAAACCACGCCCTGTTTAAAATAAATAGGATTACTAATACCAAGTGAAATGAATCCGATGGAGAAGGTTAGATATCACGATTTCTCTTACGTGAGAAACCCGAAGTGTGAGTAACTTAAAGGGCAAACTGAGAGATAAATGATAGGAAACAGAAAAGTAGATCTTTTACAAATGGAAAGGGGGCCACAGGAATGGAAGAAAAGGCAAAGGAGGGGAGAAGGCAAATGGATTAAGACGCGTCTCCTCTGTATATGCACCGGGTCCCCACAATGAATGGACTCAGAGTGTATCCCCAGCATGTGCTAATAAAAATGAAATAAATAAGAGTAGGGGAGGAGGAAATATTTCCCTTAGCGCCTTGGGCTGTAGCAGTCCATTCATAAGCATAATTCTCTGTTTCTAAAGCAGGATCAGCGATTGCTCCCAAGGGCATGTTAAAGATTGGCTTAAAGACTGAGGTAGAAAAATCCCCTAAGGGTGGGCAATAAGGAACCCCAAGAAATAATTCTGAAACACAATTATGAAGAGACACTGCTACGCCACTAGTTCTTTTTATTACTTTTTACCTTACTTTTCTGGCATTTTTGTTCACTTCTTTCCCCTGCTATAGTTATTCATTTGTTGGGCCAGGGAGATGGCTCAGTGGAATAAGTGCTTCCCTGGCAAGCATTAGGGTCTGAGTTCAATCCCTGGTTCCACCAAAAAAAAAACAAAAACATTTGTTATTTACTTCTTTATCTGCAGAACTGGCCTCACATATGCTAGGCAAGTGCTCTAGCACAGAACTACTTGTCCAGTCCTTTATGTAAATATATA